AAGGATCCCCAGCCCCAGCCTTCCCAGGCCCATCCCCACCAGCCTTACTTCTTCTGCCTCTTCTCCAGCTCGTGACTGCGGCTCTGCTGGCTGTCGGCAAGCACCCGTGCATCCTCCAGCTCGCAGGCCAGCCGCCCGCAGCGCCGCCGCAGCTGCTGGGACGCCTTCTTGGCTGGTTTGGCTGCCTCGCATGCTGCCTGTGCCGCGCCGAGCTGTGGACAAAGCTGATGGTGAGACCTCACAGCACTGTGCCCTCAACCGCTCCCCCCCAGGGATGGTTCACCCAGAGATCTTCCGCTAAGCAAGGACAAATTTGGGTGCCCTGACCCCTCGCGCTCTGGGCATCCTCTTGGGTGCATCCCAGCCCCCCCTGCTGAGTCAGCAAATCTGCACCAGGGGTGCACGCCTGACCCCATTTCCCTGCGAAAGGCCAGGAGCTGGATCCCATGGGATTCACATCGTGCGTGGGGCAGAGACACACAGAGCTCTCGCCAGCCACAGAACGGAGTCATTAAGCAATGACTTTAAATAAGCAAGATCTTGCAGTAATGAAGCCTGTAATTCCCAACTAAGTGTCTGAAAGCAAATGGGCTGTTTTGCTTTACCCAAGCTCCTCAGACCGGGCTGCTTTTCTTATTACTTTTTAATGTACCGTGAATAATATTCATTTCTTTATTTTATCCTCAAGGGAAGTGGCCTGGTCCCCCAGCACCACTCAGGGAAGCACATTGGCTCCCTGCCTCCTCACAGCAAAGCTCGGGAGCTGCCAGGGCTTTCCATCAGCAGCTCTTCGTGTGATGGGTGGTGCGAGCACAACCCTGTCCAGTATCCAAAAGCCAGATAACACCAAGACACATCCCCACTCAGCAGCTTTCCACCCTTGACCAAGGTTGAATTTGTCATGTTCAGGGCCGGCAGTGCTTGCCTTTTCCTCGAGCCCGGTCCTGGCGCTCAGCTCGGACTCCAGTCGCTCCTCCAGCTGCGCCAGCCGCTTCCGCAGCCCCCCCCCCGCCCCCCCCAGCCGCTTCCGCAGGAAGGCGATCTCCGTCTGCGCGCACTCGAAGCGTGTTTGCCAATCATCCTCTGTGAATAGAGAGACCCAGAGATGCTTGGGGGTGCTCTATGCCAGGGTTGGACGGGCAAAGATACATCAGCACCACAGCTCCCGTATGGCATGAACACCAGCACTGAGCTTGTGGGGTTCACCTCAGCTTTGCGCACCCAGGGCTCCCCCAGCTTGCATAGCACGTGTGCCACTGCCTTAGCAAAACGTGTGTGGTCATCCCATCCCATCCTATCCCATCCCAAACCATCCCATCCCATCCCAAATCCATCCCAAATCCATCCCATCCCAACCCAACCCAAACCATCCCAACCCAATTCAACTCAACACAAGCCAATTCCATCCCATCCCAACCCAACCCAAACCATCCCAACCCAACCCAACTCAAAACAAGCCAATTCCATCCCATCCCACCCCATTTGTGTCTTAGCAGCCTCATCTTAGGCAATGCAGAATGAGGGGGTGCCAAAATCGCATTGGGGTGGCCAGGGGCTGGGGGAGCAGCACTGCTTGGGGGGAGTTCATCCTCTGCCCATTGCAAGCAGCTTTGCTGCCCCACTGGGGTGGCCGTGCTGGCCCCACAGGTCAGGTTGGATGTCCAGAGCATGCATCACACCCAAAGAGACGTCCCTACCTCCTCCAGAGCCACTGATCTTCATCTCACGCAGCTGCACCAGCTGCTGGGCCTCCTCCAGCTGCTTTTCCACCAACTCCAGTTTCTTCTGCACTTGCTCATGTTTGCTCTGGTGAAACCCAGGGAAGGAAGGGAGCAGCTCTACCCAGCTCCAGGGCACTCAGGTCCACCAAGGCTGTGCCAAAAATGGGGCATCGCCACCATCCCCACGGCTCGGGGCTCCCCTACCTGCAGCTCCTGCAGCTCGCGGGCGCCCCGCAGCCTCTCTGCCCGCTCCCCGTCCAGGGCCTGGCAGGTGATGTCACCCTTGTACCGCTCGTCCGACAGCTCCGTCGTCAGGTCAATGATCTATGGGGACAATAGGGGGTCAGGCCAGGCATCGCTGGGGCGTCCTGGTCACCCCACATCGACCTGAGTGTCCTCACTGTGCTCCTTTGGCAGCTGCAGTGCTTAGGGGAAGGGGTAAGTGCACCCTGTCACAAAGCAGTGTCACCATCAGATTTCTACATCATTCTAGTTAATTAGCATTAAGTTTCATTCGCAACAAGCAGCAGGTGAATGCAGAGGGGAATGATTAACCCAGAGAATTAATTGCATTTTCTGCATGTGAGCACGGTCTGTCCTGCTCAGCCACCCGGCTGCTGGGCCAACAGGAACACGCGACCCCTGTCAACCTCAACTTCTCCAGCTGCAATGCAATTAGTGCTCAGATTTATCCCAAATGGCTTAAATTCCAACTGGACCAATTGGGCAGTGGCAGTGGCTTTTTGGGGGGCTCTACCTTGCTCTCCAGCCTCTCTGCATTCTGCCTCAGCTCCCCGCACGCCTGCTCCGATTTCTCCAGCTTCCGTCTCAGCGCCGCCAGCTCCTCCTAGGGAAGATTGCAAAAAAAACCACACGTGGAGAGCTCCAGCGTCCTCAGTTTGTTTATGAAAATCTCCTTTTCTGTTAAAAATAAGCGGGAGAGACATAGCTGCCTTATTAATAAAATTTACCGGGTGACTTTGAAGGCTGCTCACTGCAAATTGCCGGGACTACAGCTTCTGACATGAATTTCATGGGAGGGAATGTCAGCTCTGGTGTGTGTACAGAGAGCATTTTGGGAGAAAGAAGCAAACCTCAAAAGCCCCGGACGAGCAGCCAAACGCCTGAATTTTGCCCCCGGAGCATTGCTAGGCCCTGACAGGTTATCACAGCACACGGGCAAAGGCACAGGGTTTTTGTGATGCTTTTTTGGGCAGCAAGAGCAGCCGTGTCCTGCTTTGATGTCCAACACTGAGCAGGAGCCGAACGTGCAGAGTTGTGATAAAAACCAAGGTTAACGGGTGATGGGGGCTGATGAATCCCAGGTGGGTTTGGAGCCAGAAACAGAGGCTTTTATTTCATCTGAACCAGCCTGAAAACATCTTGTTAAAATCTCACTAAGGCAAGAGGAGGAGCGGTGTCCAGAGAAGACAGACTATGGGAAGAATTCTCTCTCCCGCCACACCTCTGCAAAAAATACACTACCTGGGGGGGAAAATAGTGCAGTGCTAAGAACAGATGACGACTTCAGGATGGTCAGAAAAACATCTCTGCCCTGGCAGAAGTGACTTCCAAGTTGACTGACCCACCAAGGTGAGGCCCTAAAACATCCCATCCCATCCCATCCCATCCCATCCCATCCCATCCCATCCCATAATGTCCCATCCCCATCCCCATCATCACTTGGTGCCTACTTCTTTAGCACGGAGCTGCTCCTCAGCGAGGTTAACGCTGAGCAAGGGCCGGACGCGGCTCAGCAGCTGCCACCAGGACCAGTGCCTGACGGCCTGGAAGACCACCAGGTTCTTCTGGATGCAGCGGACAGCGAGGCGCTGGATCTGCAGGAGACACGGCCAGCAGTGCCCCTCGCCCAGCCACAACTGAGCCCACTGGGATGGACCAGGCTGGGCTTGGGGATGGAGAGGGATGAGGCGGTGGAGAAGCTCTGGACTGCGGCATCCCACAGCTGACCATGGGGCAGGTATCATTCAAAGGAGCAGCCTGCTCTGCTCAAATTGTTGTAATTTGGACGCTCTGGGCTGTACCACAGCAGCACCAACCCCCTGCAGCAGCCAGAGCCTGTGTTTTGGTGGGCACAGGGTACCCAGGACCTGAGGAATGGATACCTTCAGCCTCTTGAACTTCTGACGACTGAGGAAGCCCTTGCAAGCTGCTTGGAGCAGGATCATCTTCTGGGTTATCAGCTTGTCCCGCTGCTTCTCCAGTCTGGAGATGACCCCTGGCTTCAGGAAAACCTGACAGCAAGCAATGGTTACACACCCCAGGTGTGCAAGTCCTTGACACCCTTCCAATGGTCACTGCCCGTTCCCCACCGCTGCATGGACGCTGCGGGTGCTTCTGCCGGCAGCACACACACAGGTAACAGCAAAGATGCAGCTTTACAATAGGAAAAACAAAATTAACTGCAACATTTTCTTTAACTGAACTTGTCAGGAACACCTCATAAATGTTACAGATTTGCTGATGCCATCGAATTTAGCCCGGTATCGATCTTTCGGAGTGTAAGACATCTCCTGGTCATTGCCTGGCGAAGCTCTCGGGATACAGGACTGATCGTTCCCGAACATTGCACGCTATTTGCATAATACAGCTTTACTAAAAACTGAATTACACTTGTGAAGCCAGTGGCATACTTAAAGAGCTGCGTTTTAAAGATGCCAAATTGAATCAAAGAACAATTCCAAGGAAAGTCAGTTCCTTGAGATAATGCTATGATTGCTCCACCACCTATTTGATTGTCTCATTAATGTCTGTATTAACTTCACAAGCCAGTGAGCTTTAGAAGGCAGTACAAAATCAATGCTCAAAGCAATGGCAAAACTAACTCCTCTATAACAAGATGTGACTGGAGCTGCTATCGCGCTATTGATTAAGTACAAGGGTTTCATAGAAGAGATAATTGCAAACTGCACTGCGCAGGATAAAAGAAAGTTATTTTGCTCCGCGGAACCGTTTCATGAATTCTTCCTTTATAGACTCCCAGAGCTGAAGGCAAGCACCGATGCAAAATTAATTTTTTCCTTGAGATTATTGCATTTCGCTTCAAATGTTGTTGCTGCGACAACTCTTGCACCTGCAGCTGCCTGGCCCCGCAGTGTTAATCCCAGCCCACCCAAGCCATGAGCTGCTCGTGTCCCATGTGCTCCCGTGAGACACCAACGCTAATTAGGAGGTCAAATGTCATGAGGGGCCAGATTTTGATAATTAGATACACAGCTGACCCAGGGCAACGCTTTCAAATGTGAATTAGGAGCCTTCTGCTTGATTTTCAGGAGGTTTAGTTTCCCTAGGCGCTGTGGGGAGCAGCAGAGAATGGGTTTCCACTCCAGTTTGGGAAGCTCTGGACATGGCCCGTATGCACCCAGCACAAAGCAGAGCCCAGACCCCTCGTACCTGGCTGCGTCCTATGGCCATGCTCCTCTTCTCCAGATCCAGCGCCTGGAAGAGCTCCTCTATGGCCTGCGGAGAAGGAGCATGGAGCTGCTCAGAAAGCATTTACACCCTGAGATGAGCCTGCTGAAATCCTTAGGGCACCCAGCATGGCTGCATCCAGCTTAGGGACACCCAGTAAGGGTGCATCCAGCTCTCTTGAGAGCAGGAGGTGATGATGAGCCCATCCTGGCACTATCCAGCCCAGGTCCAACTGTGCCGCTTTGCTGCAGCCTCCAGTGCTCCCCTCCCACCCAGCTCAGCCCATGGACCCAAACACAGAGGGGGAAGCACTGAGTTGCCCCCCTGAGCCCACCGGTGCAGAGCTGAGCCTCCTGCAGGGAGAGAAGCAGGAGATGAGTGCTGAGGGGTAGGGGAATCTGAACTCAGTTACTCCAAGCTCTGGACTGACGTGCAAAATGTAACAGCCAGCAATCTGTACATTTCCCCAAGGCAGCAAATGCTGTCTGGACAAACAGAAGATTTGAAAACCCCAAGGCTACAGAAACTGCGACAAAAATCCTCTGCTAATACTTCACACAGCATCCTCCAGCTGCCTCACACGTCTCCTCCACCAAGGACAAACCCACATGAGAAATATTTTGGCCTGGCTCTGGGAGCCCCTTCCTGCAGCAGAAATGCAGCCCTGGCCCTCGCCAGCAGCCAGGCACATATTGAGGTGAGCGGGGACCGAGCACGGGCTATGGGCCACCACAGTGCACCAAAACCTGTGCTGGGGGGGAGGAAGAACCAGCACCATGGCCATGCCCCACTCTTGCAGCACTGGTGGGACTGGAGCCAGGCTGTGTGGGATGATCCCAGCCCACACATAATGTGGGGTTGGTTATTGCTGCACCATCACCCTTGCCACAGCCACACATCACCGGTGCTGCAGCAGCCCAGTTAACGCAGCTTACTGGGAAGCAGCCTTCAGCGAACAAATCCACGTGGCAAAAAGGATGGGATTTTTCAAACCCCCTGCTCGCACGTTGCTGACGAGGCACCCTCTGCCTCCTTACAGCTTTTAAAAACAATATTGACCTTTTCCGACTGTCAAACCTGTCTTATTAAATCCCGAAGTCTTAGAGGAGTTTGCAGACGTGGGGCTGGCAGCTTGCACAGCCGAGCACGTGCCCATGTTTAATTCATCTCCTCTCGGCTCCCCCGGCTCGCTCACAGCCTGGGCCCGGAGCAGGGGCGGTTCTCCCCAATTTTTGCTATAAATTTGTCATGAAACAAATACAACTGGCAAATCTCCACCTTCATTCCTGAGCTCCTTGGGCTTTCAGCCTCTGTGGGACAAAGTGAGAGGCCACCCTGGGCTGCAGCCAGGTGATGCCTGGTCACTGGGATCCTCTGTAGGGTCCCTGGGGATGCTGCCTGGCTTGTACTCAGCCAGTAGGTTTTTGGGGGAGCTGGGATGATGGATGGGGTGCTGGGGTGAAGGATGGGGTGCTGCCATGCAGGGTCAGACCAATGCATGGGTCCTGCCCTCGGTGCATCCCTCCAGTTTGTGCTCTGCCCTGCAAACTGAGCCCCACCAAGCACAGAGGATGGAGGCACAGGCCGCAGCAAGCAGGAATTTTAAAGCAGTTTCCTCTCGAGTATTAAAAAACAGCAATAACTGCCTGCATTTCCAGGCTGATTTCTCCAAGTCCTCTCCGTGGTGCAATAACATTGGCAATCACAGCCCACGCTGGGCACATTTACTGCCCTTGTAAAAAAGTGGTCCCGAGGGGGAGAAGCTCCGGGCTGAGGAGCTGAGTGAGGCCAATCCACCAGGAGCAGCTGGGTGGGTTGGGGGGCACTCACATCCCCCCGTGCTTGAGCATGCGTGGGGAGGGTGAAGAGGAGCAGGATGCAAAGCCCCCCTGCCATCCCCACCCTGCACAGTGGAAGAGCCTGGGACGCACCTTGCTCTCGTCCGGCACCTCATAGGCAGAGGTGAATTTCTTCATCACATCTGGAGCCAGGACCTGGAAGCGGCGTCGGAACTGGGTGAGGAGCAGGCGATCCGCGTACCCTGGGGACAGACAGATGGACATGGCTGGGGACACGTGGCTCACATCGAAATGCTGGGGAGGGAACAGGCGGTGGGGGCTGCTGCAAAGTATGGGATGTCCTGCACACAGCAAAGGATGCTGTGAGTGGTGTGACCACGGCTGGGGCAGGATCCACAGATGCTCTGAGGGGACCCCACCAGAGATGCAGCCACCGTGCTCAGGCTAGGAACCCCAGCAAAAAGCAGCAATAAAAACTTGAGGGGTTTCTGGCAAGGGGCAGACGATGAGCAAAGGGCTGAGCCGGGGCGTACCAATGCGGTAGAGCCGCAGGGCATCCAGGAGCTGGGTCCCCTCCAGCTGTGCTCGCAGGGTGGGCAGGTCCAGCTGTGGGGCTGCATCGGGCGGCGCAGGGGGGTGAGGGCCTGGCCCCTCCAAACCCTCCATCCCGGGTCCTGGGACGAGGCAGTGGATGAAGTGGAGCTGGGATCGCCGGAGCAGGTTGATGAGTGCATCCTGCCAGGCAAAAAGAGGTCAGCAGGGATGGAGGGGATGAGGGGGTGTGAGGTGCCAGACACTGAGTGGGACCCTTCCCCCTAACATCTCGTGCTTTGGGTTGATGGGCTACAAAATGTTACCAGGGTTGAAAGTTGCTGGTCAGGGTTTGCAGGACCCCAAAGCGGGCTGGCCAGGGGCTATGGACACAGCACCCCATTTCCTCAGGAGACTTTAGGCTCCTGATTATGGCTGAGATCAGCCAGAGCTCGGCACGTGTCTGCTCGTCTGAGTGCTTAAGAGGATTAAGCGGCGGCACAGCAAGGTGCGCGTGTAATCTGCTCTATGATTTGTTTGTCAGGGATGCTTTCCCTGAGCAACAGCGATGTCGGGGAGGCTTGAGGCCAGAGCAGCGTCCAGGGCTAAGAGCCCTGTGGGACTCAGAGCTGCACTGGTGACCCCTGGTCCCTGCTAAGGAGAGTCCAAGGCAGGGGCTGCATGGGGTCAGGATGTGCAGCAGTGCAAAGCCACAAGGGTCCCGGTGCCCACACTCACCGCCTGCAGTTTGAGCTGGGCACACACCGATCTCCTCTTCACAGCAGCGATGCTGCTGGCAAAGGTCTTCCTGACACAGCCGTTGCGGTGCAGGGCAGTCTGAGAACGGCCCTCCAGCCCAGCCACAGCGCGGCAGGGCAGCGGCGCCTGCGAGCGCGCCCACACCAGCTCCTTCACCGCATCCCTGTTGGGGCGAGCAATGAGATGGGGTGCCCCTTCAACGGGGGTGCAATGCCTGGTACCCCAAATTCAGCATTGGTGCTGTTGACCCTCTGCTTTCCAGCCCCTTCAGCAGGGATGCAATGCCTGGCACCCCAAATTCGGTTTTGGTGCTGTTCACCGCTATTAAAACTCTCCTGAATCGAAGCCCGAAACAAAACGAGCCGGGACTGTTTGAGCAGAAGGTTAAAATCACTCCACGTGTGCAGACAGCTGCAGCTGCTCCGTTACATTTCAATTCCAATTTATTTTACAAGGCTCCTCAAAGCCACAGGGAAAACCTGTGCGGCTGCTGCGCGGGGAGCTGCCCTTGGCCGGGGATGTCTCGCAGCCCCGACCCATCCCAAACACCCAACCCATGCCAAAAACATTCAACCCCATGGCACTGCAGAGCTGAGGAGATCGTGGGGTCCCCCTGTCCCTGCCAAGTGCCACATCAATGGCACGGATCCGTCAGAAAGCCCAGACAGCGTTGATGGGAAGCCGAGCACTGCAGCATCGTTCACCAGCTCGCTCTGTGGCGACTGCTGTCAACACAGAGTGTTTCTCTGCTGTCAGCCAGCCCCGGGGCCTGATGGCTGTCAGTCAACACACTCAGCGTCTGCTCCCCCCACCTTAACCAAACTCGCAAGATTCCCACAAAGCTGGGTTGAAAGCTGTGGGGTTTTTTCCAGCTTCCTTGCAGTTTTCCCCCTGCAGAGCTGGACTCTGGCAATGCAACACCCGTGTCAGTGCATGCATTGGGCTGCCCTGCAGATGGGATCTACTCCAGATCCTGTCCCCTCCTTGTCCACCCAAGGCCAGATCAGCTCCATCACCTGGGCTGTGCACTGGGGGGATGGGCAGGGACCCCTCACAGCCAACACCAAGGCCATTGCCCACCCTGGTTCTGACATCGGCCAGGCTGCGGGTCCTTTCCATTGGGATGTTGGGTCCTCTCCTCACGTTGGGATGCCCCGCACAGCTCTCTGTCAACCTATGGCATCTGCAAACCCCATCCCCAGCCAGAACAACTCACGGTGGGGTCACCCCAACCCAACCCCACCTGTACTTACACCCTGGACCGCTGCAGCACCTGGATGGCGTTTTCCGCCGAGAGGTTGAGCTTGGCTTTGCTGACCCAGCCCGCCAGGTCGTAGCGCACGGGGTCAGTGCCCAGCTGGTGGGAGATCTCGAAGTGCAGCTCCTGCTCACACCTCCGCACGTAGCCATCCCCTGCAACGGCATCCCAGAAGAGGCACCCACCAAGATATTTCATGTGATGCATGGTTTCTTAAATTTCCAAAGCTAAATGGTGATGCCAAATGATGGGCAGCTGAGCTGACCCAAACTTACCCTCCTGCTCAGGGCCCTTGGTGGCAAAATAAGAGCAGAGGCGATCGAAGGCAGCGCTGTCCCTGGAGCCCGGGATCAGCACCTCCTCGTCCAGGATCCACAGCAGCCCCCTGCGGTCGGACCCCGGGCCTGGGGGCAGCACCTGTGGCTGCCAAAAGGACATGGCCCTTGGTGACAGGAACAGGCAGGAGAGCTGTGGGCACGGCCACAGCCGCACTACCCTGCTCCCAGCACCTCTGTCCATGTCCCCTGCCCCAGACCAGGGTCACAAAGCTCTCCTGGCCTGATCCAGCACTGGACATCACCCTTGAGACCTCTGCAGTCACAGTGTCCCAGAGGGGCCAGGCTGCAAGGGGTGCCCAGGGCCTGACCACATTGGGTGCTCATGTTTTAAAAAGCCAAAAAGGTCCTGGATGATGCTGTGTCTGCCTTTGCAACAGCCTGGGCTGCTCAGTGCAAAACCCACTGTGAGGTCCCACTCCGAAACCCTCCCTCCTCTGAGCAGGGGGATGCTCCAGACATGGCCAGAGCAACCAGCACCCACTGCCATCACGGGGACCAGTTACCTGTGAGGGGCTCAGGTCGACGATGGACAGCGTGGCCAGGGGCGAGCGCTCTGGAAGATCAAAAGACACCTCAACATTTTCCTGGAAAACATCATTTAAAAGCTTGCTTCAGTCATCGTCCAGCATCTGAAAGCCAAGAGGAGACACAGTGGCGTGGAGGAGGAGGACGGTGCCGGGATCCAGTGCTGGGGTCATGACCACGTCTGCCCCCATGGGCAGGGCAGCTGGGACCACCACACCCCAAGGGCTTCTGCAGAGCTTTGTGGGTGTCAGACAAGCTGCACAAATCATGGATATGGTAACAACTGAAGACTTAATGAGAAAACACCAAGAAAATCATCAATTATTTAATTTGCAGCTTGCAGGCATCGTTTCCCTTTCTCAACCGAGAGATTAGGCTGTGAGGGCTTACCCCCACCCATGGCTCCAGCACCCGCTCCTGACACCCCCACGCTGTAACCTGGAGTGTAGGGACCCCCTAGGGAGGCACAGAGCAAGCAGGGGCTGTCCTTGATCCCCTGCAAAGCAAGGATGCTCAGCAAGAGCCACGACATCAGCGTCTCTCCATGGTAACACAGCGAGGTTTCGCTCAGAGGCTCAGAGATTTTTCGCTTGCGGCCAGTAACTACACATTCATCACCAGCGACGAGCACAGATACACTTACTTGGCACAAGTGATGTGTGAATATTAAGCCATGGGAATTCGAGCATTTTCCCAGGGCTAGAGGTATTAAAGTAACTTCCGCACACTTAATAAGTTCATCTCTGCTTGTGGATTTTTTTTCAGCAGCGTATTCCTGCAATAATTTATCATTTTCCTTTCTGGTCTCTATTATTCATCACCTGATGGAAAATTCAGCTGCAGCACCAGAAGGGCACAAAGCCTCCTGAGCTGGAACAAGCCTGCCCAAAGGGATGCTCAAGCATTGCTGGCACATCCCAAATACCCAAAAGGATCCATGAATGGGCTGTGGGGGGGATGAGAGACCCAGCTCAAAGCTACCGCTCCACACAGACTCCTCATTTCCAAAGCATCCCTCCTGTTATAGTGTGTTATTTGGTCACTGGGACCCACTGAGTCGCTCCTCACCTCTCTGTACCTCTCCATTTCCAAAACGAAGGTTTTCTCGTAGAAGAGAGCCTGCAGCCGCTCCTGCACGTAGTTGCGGCAGAGCTCCTCAAAAGTGGCCGCTCGCTCGCCACGCTGATGCCGGGGGTTGTGAAAGCCAGGGGTGTCCACCACGGTGATGGACGCCATGGAGAGGTGCTGGGAGGAGAAGGACCTGGGGAAGGAGCCACACACACCATGGGGTTTTACACACAGATGCCTGGATGGGTATCACACAGCAGCGACCACCCCCTGTATCCCCCTATCCCAGTGTCCCCAGTCAGGCATCTCCCACATCTCCCAGCACAGCTCATTGCCTCGTCCCTTACGTTTCACCCCTACTCTTTGTGAGAAACAGAGATGGTGTTTGCTTCTCCAGACATCGCTCGCAGCCAGTTCCAGCATTTCAGATAAGGACTGTGGGGGAGTCTGGCCCTGAGAAACCTCTGAGGTTGTTTTTAATGCATATTTCTGAAGCAGAAATCGCTGCTCTGGTGAGATGCAAGGAGATTTCACTCCTCAATAACAAGGCACCAAGGATGCCAGCACTACCATGAAAGGACAAGGCTGAATGAAGAAACAGAAGTATATTCACGGATAGCTCGCAGAATTTCACAGCACCACCCTGTTACAGCCAGAGTTGAAAAGATTCACTTTCACTGTACAAACAACGACATTTTCATGATGCACTGAAACAAAGCCTCTTCACCTGGGCCACTGCTGCAATGGTTTAATAGGCTTTGGTGGGCTGGTGGGGAAAATAAAGCCAGCCAAAACAAAGCTGCCTTTGAAGGGAAGAGGGGCCCAGGTCACAGCCAGAGCTGACGCTGTTATTCAGGAGAATCAGCAACATTTTGCTCCTGTCAGCCCTTTGAGTACCATCAGCAATTTCCCTTTGGACCGTGGTTGCTAGGAATTACAATAAAAATATTCTGCAGGTTAAATAACCGCAGGTTAAAATAAACCTGCAGCAACGACACAGAGTATTTTGGGCACCAGCTTTCATGCGGCTGCTGACTTCAACAAACGGAGCTGCGCATCGGAACTGAGAAAATGGGGCGGTTTTGGGGCCAGATCCTTAAATTATCCCATTTATCCGAGTAGATAATTTTGGATTTACACCACCTGAAGAGAGCAGTACATCAGGCCACACAGGATGCCCTCCCTTCCCATTCTAGTGGACACAGGCAGAGTGAGGACGTCTCCATCCTCTTCCACAACCCAGCTTTTCCTGCCACGCATCCACAGGGCTCGCTGGGGATGCCCTGACTGGTTTATGGCTCTGCCCATACTGGTAACCTTGCCTGCAGTCTGCAAAGTCACATCTATTTATTAATCAGCAGCCGGGCTGCTCCTCTCCGTGCCACGACGTCCTATTCTGTGCAGCTTCAGGATTGCAAACAGCGCTTTCAGATGGAGATTGAGGAGGGTTAGGTTGGATATTAGGAAACATTTCCATACTGAAAGAGTGGTCAAGCACTGGAAGGGGCTGCTCAAGTAGGTGGTGGAGTCACCATCCCTGGAGGGGTTCAAAAAATGCATAGATGTGGCACTTTGGGGCATGGTGGGGTTGGGTTGAGGGTTGGACTTGATGATCTTAGAGGTCTTTTCCAACCTTAATGATTTGATGATGCTACGATATCCATATAACTTTCTTTTGGTTGCATGGTTGCCTGCGTCGTGCCTCTCCCTGGAGAGCCCCCAGCAAAGGCTGCTCCTCACCAGCGCCAGGAGAAGGAGCCATGGCCCACAGCCCCTCAGCACCCCCCCAGCTCCGTACCTGTTGATAAGTGAGACGACCGCAGCAAAGAGCTCTTCATAGAGACCTGAAGCCATCCCCTCCACACACTCCACTCCTGACATCTTTGGCCCTAGCACGGTCAGAGAAGAGCAGGCAAAGTCATGTCATTAATTTTGGCTGAGTCCGGGTGGCAGGAGATGGCCCCCACGGCTCCCACCCAGCACAGCATCGCTCTGGGTACACAAACAGTGCACATCCACCCACCTGCCCCCAGCTCCTCCAGGGCCTCCTGCTTAATCTGTATTTAAGAAACAAAACTATTGACACGTTAAAGGCCAGTTCTGGCTTTTATCAGAAGAACTTCCAGGGCCCCTGCTGTAACTGTGCCACTGAGGATGAGTCAGGTATGGAAAAGCTGACCTTAAAGTTGTGCGATATCTTACATCCCCCTGCCACCTACACACTGGATCTGCCCCTGTGCTTAGATCCACGCATTAATTCGATGTTTACAGTGGCTCAGCAGCAGGAACACAACTCCCTGCCGTGTCCAGATCTCCTCGCAGCACAGCACCAGCACAGCTTTATTCGCAGGTGCAGGGGAAGGATGCCTGCCCTCCTGCTCTGGGGGTTTTTCCCCTTTTCCTAAATGCTCTCCCAGCATTTAAGCCACATCACTTCTCTGCCAGGGGCATTGTCTGAATTCACCTGATTTTTGTGTGTCCCAGGCAGGGTCAGCCATAGAGCTGAGGTAGCTACACAACAGAGCACAATTATTGATTCAATTAATATGCACACACCCAAATGCACCTCATTGCCTGTAAAGCAAAGGGTGAATTACCTCCCCGCAGCGTGCAGAGCACAGTGTTTCCGTACCACCCGTAAATAAAGGCAAAAGGGATGCAGCACCCCGCTACCTGCCGGGCTCTCCTCTGCTGGCGGTGGCCGCCGGCCCCGCGCCGTCGCCTGGGCCAGGATCTGCTTCAGGTGGTGCTTGAAGACGGCTGTGGTCAGCTCCTCCAGCTCGCAGCCCAGCACCTCCGCCGCCGCGCTCGCACAGTCGAATTTCATGAATTGCTTCCTGCCCACTGCATAGAGGGACACGGGGGGCTCAGGCAGAGCCAGCCCCAGCGCAGACTCGGTCTCCCCAGCAAACCCTACCCGCTTCTATGTGCAGCATCAAAATAAACCCAAAAAGGAGTGCCGATGGCAGTATGGGATGGGGAGGCAGGTGGCGATGTTGTACCAGTGCACCCCAGTTTCCTTCCATCCCCCAAAACTGGCCCGGCCAGCTCTGCTGCCGCAGCGTGCAGAGCATGGGGCTGCCCTCCCTGTGCTCCAACCTCTCCCACCAACAGCTGTAAGGATTTTCTCAGCTTTGCATGACACTTATCATATTAAAGGCTGGCTGGCTTCAGAAAGGTTGATGGATTTGTCTCTTGGGCAATCATTTCACACAAGAGGAGGTTTTTTGTTCGTTCAGAAGATAGTTCAAAACTTTAAGGATCTAAACCAATGCTTTTGTACTGATTTTCCCCGCTGTAGTGGTCCCCAGGTGCTCAGAGCATCCCAGCTGAGCAAGCAGAGAGGAGCCCTGCTCCAAGGAGACAGGTTATGGTTGGACTGGATGATCTTAAAGGTCTTTTCCAACCAAATGATCCTGTAATCCTATGAGATGCTTTGAGGTGAGCCAGGACCCATGCAGACTATATGGCCTACCAGGGCTCCTGCTGCCAGCACAGCACCAGTACCGCTGTGCATTTCAAGAGCTTTGGTGGAGCAAAGCAGCAGATGCGTTACTGGAAGCTGATGGGATTAGAAACCAATCCCTCCAAATCCCGGCTCACCTTCCCCAGCCCCAGCACTGTTTGCTGTCCCCATCAGCCGAGAGCTGCGCTCCTGCTCAGCAAACAGAGCTGGCACACATTATTCATACCCAGCGGTACCGATCCCAGCTTAATGATTAAAATCAATAGGGAAGCAATCTGCGGGATAAATCCTTCTACAAATCTGGGGAGGAAAGGTGCTGCAGAGGCAGCTGGGTGGTTCACGCTCAGGAACATGAGCAGAAATGGAAGCAAAGTCACCCAGAGAGCTCAAGGTTGGGCTTTTGGGTGGTGATGGGTGAGGAGCCGGCCCAGGGACCCTCCCCACTCCCCGCCAGGGTGATGCACAAAGCTGGGGGGTGCTTCACAGCACGAGTCACATCCCTTTCTCTCCCTCTTTGATCTTTTCCCATTGTTTTTCACTCTGTCTGAAGGACTCCAACATCAAGGGCTGCACCGGAGCAGACGGAGGAATCGCCTCAACAACCTGGGCTTTGATTTCTTTTGGTTTTCACTTGTTTTCATCTCAGCTGAGATGAGCCTCAGCCCCCTCAGACAGCAGAGCTCATGCTGCTGCATCCAGGAAGCAGGAGGGGCTGTGAGGATGGGGCTGCATGGACTCCACAGCCAACATCCCACACCAATCACTCCAGTATCCCACATCAGCATCCCACATCAGCCACTCCAGCATCCCACATCAGCCACTCCAGCATCCCATATCAGTCACTCCAGCATCCCATATCAGTCACTCCAGTATCCCCCACCAGCATCCCATACCAGCTACTCCAGGACCCCAAAACAGCCACTACAGCTTGCCCAACTGCAGATCTGCCTCCACCTCGGCAGCCCCCAGAGAGGCCGGGCACCATTTCAAACTTCATAAAATATAAAGAGCAGCAGCGGCATGCAGCCCTCCTGGGTCTACTGTGACCATTGTAAAACACACCAGCTTCAACACCTAAAAGGTAATTACTTCAGCCCATTTAATATTTAAGAGAAGCAGTAGGAAAGTACAGGGTCAGCACTGGCTTCGTCTCGCTCTTGTGCCCACGCATGCAGCACCTGGGTTTCTATTTTTTCTATTTCTTTTAATATATTTTTTTCTTTTTTCCTACTTTTTCTGGGTTTTTTTCTATTTTTTTCTACTTTTTGTATTTTTTATGTTTTTTCTACTTTTTATATTTTTTCTATTTTTCCTACTTTTTCTTTTAATTTGAGAAGCCTGGGGAGCAGCAGGGAAGCCCAAAGGGGCTGGACCCCATTCCCCCATTCCCATCCCAGCTGGATCCGCACCATGGGCTTGGAGCACCCTATCCTTTTTCTTCCACTTGTTTTGGCATTAAAACCCTTGCACTGCTAATGGGACAAATAATAAAAGAAACCCCATTTCTTCCTCTGTGTTACCCTGGGAGAGGACAGAACGAGGAGGCTCCTCCTGGCCTGAATGGTTAATTTATTTGTCCTGCACTAAATCCTCCAGTCTATTCTCCGCTGACCCGTTGCCTGATGTACGACATATTAAAGCCCATATATAAGAATGGGAAGAGCTGTGTAGTAGCGTGATTAAAGAAATCTGCCACTCCGGCTTCATTTCCCCAAGTGTTTGTAATAAAGATGTCAGGGCACTGAACAGATAGTGCCATAACTCAGTGAGTGGGGAGACCAGAGCCATGGTGCTGATGGCCCAAATATGATGCCCAATTCACACTACAAACCGGGGTCCTCCTGCCCTGGGAGTGGGGGGACACATCATTCTGCCTAAATCCTCCTGTCTGGAGAAAATAAGCCCCAAGGCCTCTGCAGCGCACAGGGTCAGCGGCTGCATGGTCACCAAGGGACCGTTTCACCTCGGTTTAGGGCTTTCCCATGCAGCCACCAGGCTTCACCAAGGCAAAACCCCTTGCTCCTGCGGGATGCAGCTCATGAAGCACAGAGGCACCATCCTACCCAGAACCAAACACGCAAAACCAGCCCGCTACGGTGAGAAAACCCAGGCGCCAAAGAGCAAAAGGTTTTAGCAGAGAGAGGAAAATTGGCAAGAGCCCTGATGCAACCCTTTCCAAGAATCCGGGCACCAGGAACATGAGCGGTGATGCCTGAGCATCAGTGACCACCCCAGGGACCAATAGATTGGTCAGCAAAGGGAAACACTGGTGTGGTGCTGGTTATGGGGACGCTGCTCCCTCCGCCTTTTAGCAACAGGCAGTGATAAAACATTAGGGTAAAGCTGGGCATTGAGCTGGAGTGGGATTAAGAACAAAGTGTCATTTCCACATCAATTAAGGAAAGGTCGCTACATCTCAGAGGCTGTAAAACAGCAGCAGTAATGCAGGTTTAGGGCTTTTTTTTGTCAGCTTCGGTCGTAAAGCAATAAGTCAGCCCCTCCGTCTGCTCCAGGCGGCACTATCCCATCTCCAAACCACGCAGTGCCTCAGTTTCCCAGGTCTGAAACAGGGATGCTCCTTCTCCTGCCCCCCAGGGATGCGATGCTGCGGCGGTGGGGCCATGCAGGACCCAGCCTGGTCCATGCTGGCAGCTTGGGCACTGCTCCTGTGCTATTTGCTGGGGGTCTCCCATACCAAACCCCCAAATCTGTCCCTGCTGCCTGACCCCATCCCTGTGCCATCAGGGCTGCTGGAAACGCAGTCGCCTCCATAAAAGGGAGCTGCGAGGGTTTATTTTATATCAGTCAGCAAAAGGGACAGCGTGAGAGCGAGCTGAATGCTGACCCCCGGCTGCGCCTGAAACCGCCTTCCCTGTTAAAAAGGCAACGACTAAATGAAAATATGTCATGTTCTGCAGCCCCCAAAGGGGACCGGGAGCACTTTGGTGAATGGGTACCTCGGGTGCCCGCTGGCCTCGGGCTGACAGGCTGCTTTTGCACAAAAAGAGCCTCTCCAAAGCGATTCAAAGGCAATGGGAAACGCTGACACCCGGACCGAGCAGGCTTTTGAAATTCAGCCTTTTCTTCTCCGTGTTTTTCTAGCTGCAAACGTTATTTTCCGCTCTCAGCCAGAGAGAGGTGGTGCTATTCCCTCCTGATTTATTCCCGCACACACCGAATCTGTGACAAGACCACAGCCACCAGCAGAAGGTAAAAAAAGGCATTTAACCTGCGTCGGGGCACACCGCGTGAGGGGGGCTGTGCTCCCGAATGCCAGCGAAAAACCAGCGCCGAGGCTCCCTTTGGTGAGATCTCAAGGAGAGGATTTGAAATGCGCAACTTCAAAGCGCCTGAGAGGGGAAGGGGGGCGATGGCTATCAGGAGACAGGTTTAACCACATTAAAAGAGTCATCGCCCCCACTGAGGCTTTTTCTCCATCCGGCTTTGATCCATTTTTCATCCATATTTCCTTTCATTCCTCCCCTTTTGTTGACGCGCACCGGGGGAATCGATACCGGGGCGAGCGATGCTGAGACATGCTCTGGTTGTTAATCCCGCGCCCAAGCCCTGCTCGGGCTCGCTGATAACGTCCCTATTCACACCGAAATAACCACAAACCAAGATTTGTTGAATTCAGCCCTCGATTCTCTCCTAGACCAGCTCAGGGGATGCTTGGGACGTTTTGCCAAGAGCTTTATCCCACACTTCAGCCCGAGACAACAGTCATTTTTTAAAAGTTGAAGGGCGCTGGGGGAGATGGAGATGGGGAAAGAGAAGGAGAAAGAAGTCGCCATAAGTGACAACAGCGTTCATCCTCTTAAAATAATTAATAAATGATTAATGGCATAAATTACCATAAGATGTGTTATGACATGTTGCAGAGACATTTATAAATGTCTACGGCTTGGTTTACAGCAGCCTTTATGCAGCCCTCATAAATTGAAGTGTGTAAATCAATGTGGCTGTCTCTAAAATGGGTTGGAGCACATCTTAAAATAATTTAGAAGGGATAAGACAATTTCTATACGCCTGTATTAACAAAGTCTTTACAAACACAATCTCCATCCAGACTCGTCCTATTATAACTCAGTTACTGTATTAGGCGCTCAAGAGATGATAAAATTACGGCTACCTGGAGCTGTCCCCTCGCGGTGTCACTGCAGACAACGTGACAGCAAACCAGTTACCCACCCCAGTCCTTCCCAGTGAGGACCAGGGGACCCCTTGCAGCCCCCATGGGCAGGACCCCATCATCCATGGGCAGCACAGGGCTCGGAGCCAGCAACCAGGCCACAGCCTCCAGGCGAGCACCATCCCCAGTGTCCAACACACCCAAGCTCCTAAAACCACCGGGACGCAACCCTGGCACTGTGATGAGATTGGGGGGAGGAGAGGCCAGGGCCCCCTTACCTTTACAGGCCCCGGCGGCTCCCAGGTGGTAGATGCCGGCCAGGACGCGCCATATGGCCGCCTGCTCCTCCGCCGCCATGCCCAGCGTGCCCATGGCCGCCCGCAGCTGGGCGAAGGCCGCCGAGGCTTTCTGCTTCTCCTCGGGCTGTGGATGAGGGAGGGGAAATGTCAGAGCATCCTGGACAGTGGGGACAGGGACTCAAATGGGGGAATGCAAAAGGGCATAAAAACCATAGGGGAAACCATACAATAAGGAAGCGTAGGAAGAGTTTGGGCAGCAACAGGGGACACCCCTGGCAGGTTCCTCGAGAGCCTGCTGTCAGGAGCAAGCCTCGGTATGTCTTCATACAACTACACGTAATTTCCACTTCAGGAGGTGGTTCCCACCCAGTCCATGGCTCCCACAATTGTTTTGGCAAAGAAAGCACCAAGCGAGATGGGGGCTTTCTCCCTCTGAAGTGGGGCTGCTCCATGCAGACACATGTGGCCCCAGGGCCAAGACGCAGCAGCCTCATCCTGGCCAGGACCTGGGCTAAAGGGTTTTGGCTCCTGCAGAGCCCTGTGGGGCAACTACTGATGAGAAAATGCAGCTGCAGGCTGTGATTTCTCCAGACTCAAGCGAACACCCCAAATACTCATGGCACTGGTGTCATGCAGGGGTTGTCTGTCCCCACCACCTGCAGGGATGAAGGCTGGGGAGCCACCAATGGGATTTTCAGTCCCAGCATCCACAGCACCGTTCAGAAAGGAAAAGTCTGACAAACGTCCCCAAACTCCAGCTGACTCCTAAAAGAAGCAGACCCCCTCATTCCAGTTTTCCTTCAGGGCTGGATCCAGAGCAGGCAAACAGTGCCCTGGCAATGTCCCCACTAAGCCAGGCAGGGCTGCAGTGCAGGATTGCATCCCCAGGGGAGATTTTGGGGGGTTCATCCTTCCACACCCCCATCCCCAGCATCCCTGGAGCTCCTCAGACAACACTCCTGTGCCACACCAAACTGAGTGGCTTAGCTTGGCTTTCCAGGGACATATATAGGGAATGCATCCCAGCAGGAAAACCCTCTGTGCAGGGATGGGGAACCCAGGAATTGGGGTAAAACCCCATCACTGAACCCAAAAGTGCTGCTGCGCCAGCAGAGCAAGGACTATGGTCCCCCCCAGTGCCCTCCCTAGAGCTGCCAGAGTGGAGCAGCAGCTCCCTAATGAAGATCGATTAATGAATTCACCCACAGATGATGTAACTGCAAATCACTGCAATTCATCCCGGTGTTCGGGCTCGTGGGCAATCTGTCTGATCTCTGTGAGCGGCTCGGGCTGATGCGGACCTGCTGCTGGAAACCAACTGCAGGACTTTTAGCCCCGAAAAATTGTATTCTGGGCCCTCCAAAGGATGCGCTCACTCCCCCGGAGCCGCTGCCCCAGGAAAATGTTGGGGGTTGTTGGCCCTAGAGCAGCAGGATCTGTCCCTGGGGAGGATGGGGGTGTTCAAAACTCAGACACAGACAGGGTCCTGGCAGCTCCCTTGGGGTGCTGCAGGGTGTTTGGGCAGACCCTTCCTCACCGCCCTCCACACACCCGGTGCGGCAGCACCATCCCAAATAGCTCAGCACCCCGACACATCCTTTAACCAGGGTCGATGATGGGGGTGCAAGTCTCTGGCATTTCTCCCTACCTTCGCAAAGGGTTTGATCCCAAAGGTGTTGCCCTCAGCTGCCTGGTGCAAGTGCAGCGTTGTCCTGGAAGCAGGGACAATAATGAGACACAAGCTCCCCCCTCACCCCCAGCACTGTCCAAAACCACCCCCATCCTCTCCTGGGGAGCATCTCCAACCCCCCCCAGACCCCTTGGCCTCTACAGCAGTGTCCAAAGAGCCTCATCGGAAAAGGCTCCTGTGGCTCTGCCCTGGGCAGGGGGACAGCCCTGGGCAGCACCCTTGGCCCAGCATGTGCAGACTGAGGGGAAAACCAGAAGTGGGCAAGGAAGTTTCCATTTTAGTGATGGGGCAAATAGAGAACCAGAAAACACCCCTGTTCCCTAGAAAAATCCCTAATATATGTGTAAAAGTCTCTGCAGCATCTCTAATGTGATCACCCTCACAATTTCTTATCAGAGAAGTCTCCAAAACCACATTGCTGGAGCATACTTGGGCATAAATCATGGGGAGCCCCCAGAAGTGGGGGTACCCCTCAGCCAAGCGAGGAGCAGAGCCATGGAGGCCACGCACCCACCTCTGCGCCGCATCCAGCCCCGCCAGCATCAGGGGGAAGACGTTGAAGTTGCTCTCGCCATGGGGCTGTTGGGCAACGCGGATCCTCTCCAGCAGCATGGTCTGGGGGGATGGAGAAGGTGTAAGCGGCAGCCCCCAGGGATGGGCAGGGGGAGGATTGGGATAAGCCATTGCCAGAGACCAGGATAAGTCATTGCCCGGGACCAGGACAAACCCAGATCAGCCTCTGGCCGTGCCAGGGCTGTTCAATGCCACCAGTGCCACCAGGAATGGTTCCCTGTGGAGCTGGGACCATCCAGTTGCCCTGTCCTCCCCATGAGCATCCCAGGATGGTACTGGGGGTCCAGAGACCAGGGGCATGTCCCCACTCCATGCCAGGCCATTGACTTCTTGCCATGAGGCAGCTCTGGCATCCCCAGGAGTGGACATGAGCTCAAGCCCTCTCTCCCCCATCAGATGAGGTGTGGGGGCACAAGCAGTTCCCATTAAAGCACCTTTGTGTGACAGCCCTGACAGTGATAAAAGCCTCCAGATGCTTCTGCTGGAGGCTGTAAGGTGCTGCTAATGAAATGTTGAATTATGCATTTTCTCATCAACGTTTCATTCCAGCACCGTCCTGTGCTTCCTGCCTGGGGAGGGGGCGAGGGGCTGCGGGGGACCCTGCCACGCTGCTGACAAAGCTTGGCTATGATCTGGAGCACTTTGGGTCCAGGAGAAGCAGAGCAGAGCATCGCATCGCTCCTTGCCCCAGCCCTGCCGGGCTGTTTGCCCCTGTCCCACGGAGCCCAAATTTCAGCCACAACCCTCCCACCTCATCAGGGGACAGGGCCAAGGGGTACCTGAAGGTGAGCAGCGGTGATCCGGCCGGTGGCGCTGAAATCCAGCGACAGGAGCATGGAGAAGCGCGTGGAGCTGCCGCTGTGGCCAGTGGTCACTGAGCCAAAGGCTCGCAGCACCGTGAACATGGCCTGGATCTTCTCCACTGCAAAACCAGCGCCAGCAGCGCCCTGAGCACCCATGCAGCCCCGTGGGTTGGCATCCTGCACCGCGATAGCACATGTGTGTGCTGGCAGGGGTTACACACCACCCTACTGGGCCCTTCAGCCCTTTGTGAGAGCACGGTGTACCCAGAGCTCGCCCAGACCTCCAAAATCCAAGCGTGCTCTCCGGAGCTGCTGCCCCTCACGTCACCGGTAACTCGATCGGCTGGGAAAGTGCTGCCCAAGCACGCGAGTAATTCCCTGCTGGTGCTTACGCAGGCGTTTATCGAAATAGCAAATGTGTCAGGTCTGGGATGGGTGAGAGGCAGCGGCACCCGCGGCCCCGTCAGCCCATGCTGCGCTTGTACAGCCACACAGAGCCACCCCAATGGGGCATGGATCAGAGCAGGAACAGGTCATCAGATGGGAACAGCGTTGCATTCACATCTGTGTGCACTCCCCAGTCTGCACGGACACACTCTGTGCGCTGGCCCTGGCCAAAACTAAGCACCCCACAGCCCTGCTGCTGAGGGGGCATCACTGCCAGGGGTCTGTGCAATGCTGCTGGGGCTCAGAGCTTGCAGTGACCACGCAGCCCTGTCTCTGAGACCCACCCATCCATGCTGCCCACTCTGCCACAAAACTCAGA